GGGGGTCCTGGGAGGTCGGGCTCTGCTGAGTGGTTGATGAGACACCCTCTAGACCCAGAAGCCCCCCAGCATGAGAGGGCGGACACAGCTCCGTGCAGCCTATCCCCAGGTCAGAGAAGGGTCCAACGGCCACGTGTGCAGGGAGACGCTGCAGGCCCGGCCATCAGCAGGTATTTATCGAGGGCCCATCGGGTCCCCGTGCTGGGAACCCAGAAAAGCAGACCATATCCCTGTGCTCCTGGAGCTCCTTGTCCAGTGGACAAAGAAGCAGCGTCCAGGTAACACAGGGCATGCAAGTGGAGATCAGTGAGATGACAGGAAGTGAGGAAAGCTCCATCTTTGTCTGCTCAGGCTGACATAGGAGAATACCCCGGCCCGGGTGGCTTAAACAGCAGGCAGTTCTGTCTTGTGGTTCTGGAGGCTGGAAGTCCCAGACCAAAGTGCTGACAGACTCAGTTTCTGGTGGGGGCTCTCAGTTTCTGACTTGCAGATGGCCCCTTCTCTCTGCGACATGGTCTTTCCTCAGTATGTGGGAGGCAGAGCAGTGCAGAGACAGACAGAGAGGGGGACAGAGAGAGCCCCATGTCTTTTTTTCTTTTTAAAGAATTATTTTATTTAACTTTATTTATTTATCTTAATTTGACCAGAGAAGGACAGAGTGAGAGAGAGAGAGAAAGTGAGAAAGTGAGAAGGCAAGCTGCCAGGTACAGGACTCGAACTGTGGTCACCCATGTGGGAGTCCAGCATCCTTAACCACCATGCCACCTGCCAGCCTTGTCCCATGTCCGATGGACGGTAACTCCATCGGACCAAGGCCCCATCCTTCTAACCTCACTTAACCTCACTTACTTCCTCCAAGGCCCCTTCTCTAAATACAGCCACACTGAGGATTGGGGCTTAGGCTTATGAATTGAGGCAGACACAAGCATTCTGTCTATAACAGCCTCTCTGGTGAGGGCACTCCAGAACTTTCTGTCCAGGAGAGTACCACTGGGGCCAGGAATGGTAGGGATGCCCAGGGCTGTTGTATCGAAGTCACACTTGACCAGCAGTCTATGATTTTCACTCAGGTTCAGTACACCTGGGGGAGAATCAGAGGTTAGCAGAGATGGGGAGGAGGAGTCTGCAAGGTTTTAGGTCCCCCTTGAAGCCACCACTATTCTCTGAGGAGGTGACGTTGGAGCTGAGACCCGAGGGAGAGAAAGAACTAAGCTAGGGAAGAATGGTGGACAAGCATGCAGCGAGATGGAACAGAGAGTGCAAAGGGTTTGGGATGGCAAGAGAGCTTGTGTGTGAGGAACAGAAAGACTTGGGTGGCCAGAGGTGGAGGTGGGGAGGTGTGAAGTGAGGCTGGAAGGGTGCCAGGGCCAGGCAGCGCCGTCTCCTCCATGCGCAGCGGGAAGACATTGGCGATGCTTGTGCAGGGTCAGGGCAAGGTAGGGTTTAGAAACATTTTGATGAAATTTCCTCTTTTGTTGGTTGTCCTCGCTGGGGGCTGCAGGTGGCCAGAATGTACCCTGACATGAAGGTGCAGCTTCTCATCTCAATGTCCTCCCCGCCACACCTGTCCATGCACCCCATCGGTCTGACCTTCAACCCTGTCCTGGAGGCCCAGGCCTTCGCCGTCCTCCCCAACTCCTCCTTGGCCTCCCTCTTCGTACTCAACATGGTAAGCTGTCCCCGGATACAGGCAGAAGGGAAGCCCCAGGCATGGGCAAGAGCATTATTCTTGGAGTCAGGAGACCAGGTGTAAATCCTGCCAAGGTTCAAACCCAGACAGGGTGGCTGCAGAGACCGAGATCAGAGTCCTACACGCAACTGCTTCGGTTCCTGCAGGCACCCACTCGTCCAGCCATTCATCTGCACATCTCTACTCATCCAATTACTCATTCACTCAGCTTTTCATTCAGTCCATTTTTCGTCCTGTCATTGGCGTGAAACCTGTGTACTATTTCCGCATTAGTCACTCATATCTTTATTTATTCAGTAATACATGTGTTCATTCACTCACTCAGTTATCCGTCACATTGTTGACTTGAAATCGGCTCTACCTTCTCCAGTTCCCGCATGCATTCACTCGGTTGTTCATTTATTCATTTATGTACACTCGTGTTCAACTGATCATTCATTTGTACACTTGCTGGTTCATGATTTGTTCATATCGTTTACTCCTCCATGTCTGTAACTCTTCATTCCGTTGTCAATCCGTGCATGGGTTGGTTGTATTACCCCGTCACTCCACAAACACCAGGTGACAGCTGTGCATGCTGGCGCCTCCTCTGAAAATGCCCAGACTGCCACCCCCCCGGGCGGGCTTACACAGCTCTGTCCGGTCTCACGCTGAGACTCATTGTCCCCACTTTGCAGAAATAGTGGGTCCTGTGGGGTTACCCAGGATCACACAGACTGCACAGGAAAGCCAGGAGGGAAGCTTAGCTTTCTCCCTCAATGAATATTTTTTGAGTGAATCAACAAATGATTGGTGGAGAGAATAGGGCTGGCCTGACTCCAGCCCAAGGTCTATCTCACACAGTCCTCCCTAAAGCAGAAGGAGCAAGTGGAAAATAGGGGACCTTCCAGGACCCCTTGAGCAAAAGGAGATCTCCCTGCTCCTCAGTCTTTGTGGGCCTGACCGCGTGTGGACTACTCTGTGGGGCCGACACTTCCCCCTGTCCCAGAGGCCTGCAGAGCCCTGGGCCCCTCAGTCGGGCACGTCACCCCAGGCTTGTTGCTTTCCAGAGCACGAATGTTATTGTGGAGGTCAACGCCACATCTGGCAGGCTTGTGGGAGAGCTCCAGCTGGGCAGGTAAGGGGCCGTGGACTGGGCAGGTAAGGGGCCCTGGGAGCTGGGCAGGTAAGGGGGCCATGGGGACAGGAGGGACCAGCTCTCCTAGGAAGCCTCACAATGGACCAAGCATGATGGACACAGCATCCCCTCTTTGCAGACGATGAAACTGACACTCAGAGATGAAGCCCAAGGTCAGACATCATAGGGTGACCAACCATCCCAGTTTGCCCAAAACGATTCCTGCATTAGCACTGCAAGTCCTTTGTCCCAGGACACTGTCAGGCCCAGCTGACTCGGCCAGGAAGAGCTGGGAGCCACTGGACACTGAACCCCAGTGTCCAGCACCCCATGTTCCTGGCCTTCCTTAGCACTTGGAAATCCTACTTCAACTTCTTTTGCCCCATCCTTGGACTTCAACAACCACCACTTCGGGGAGACCCTGGAGTGCATGTGCCCCGGGATTGAACCCTACGCCTGGAGGCTGAGGTTAGGAGGGCAACTCCGGGATGAGGCTGCCTGCTTTGGGAGTGTGCTCTCCTGGGCGTGCACAGAACACTCCAGACTCAGCTTGCCTGACTATGAAGCAAGCCCAGTAAGGCTTCTGTGCCAATAACCTCACTGTGAGCATTAAATGAGGTGTGCATGTGCTGGGGGCTTAGGACACAGCAGGGAGACAATAAAAGGGAGGGAAAGA